ATACAATGACATTTTAGCTGTACTTTGTTTTAACTTGTTGTGAGCCACCTTGCCAGGAGAAAGACAGCATATTAAATAATAAATAAATAAAGCGCAGTAACCACAGCCGCACAGACTATTTCAAGTGCAGCCACACCACAGATTTGTCTAAGGGCAATATGACATCAGCAGATTTATTTTCTATTCGTTTTCTCATTATGCCCAACACAAAATGTCCTTTTTGTTTTTTTAAACATCTCCTGCATGCTGGGCTGACATTTTTGTCCACCCGTCCACTACAATCCCCAGATCCCTTTCTTGGTCCACCATTGTCAGCTCAGATTCCATGAGTATGTACTGGATGCTGGGGTATTTTATGCCAGTTGTTTATATTAAATCAGAAAGTGTACACACACATTAGAAAGCCAGCATGATGTAGTGGCTAGAGCACTGGACTACCACTCTGGAAACTAGGGTTTGAATCCCTGTTGGCTATGGAAACCCACTGGGTGACCTTGGGCAAGTCACACACTTTCAGCCCCAGAAAAACCCATGATAAGTTTGCCTTAGTGTCACCATAAGTCAGAAACAATTTGAAGGCACATCACCACCAAATGTATTACTTTACTTACACTGGCTTACATTAAAAACTTCCTGGTGGAAGAACTGGACTACCTCAGATGGTGGTGGACTTTCCTTCACTAGGATTTTCTAAAACAGACTTTCTAAATAGATTGTCTAAAATAGACATTATAATGGCTCCTTTCTCAAGGATGAGTTAGCAGTATATTCCTCCACTGGCAGGGGATTGGCCTATATGGTCCATGGGATCCCTTCCAACTCTGATTCTTGGAATCTCATTTGCCCTCTTAATGTCTATTTTCCCAGTATGAAGGGACCTTTTCAGAGCTCTTGGCAAGTCATTTTTGTACTAGCCACCCTACTATGGCCGTATGTATTGGGGTGATACGTTTTTTGGAGGGGGGGACATAGGAGAGGGCCTTATCTGCTGTGGCGCTTCCGTTTTATTGTATTAATTTGTTCGGTGTTTTAAGTTAATTTTAATGTGTCATAGAATCACAGAATCATAGAATCATAGAGTTGGACGAGACCACAAGGGCCATCCAGTCCAACCCCCTGCCATGCAGGAACTCCCAATCAAATCATCCCCGACAGATGGCCATCCAGCCTCTGCTTAAAGACCTCCAAGGAAGGAGACTCCACTACTCTCCGAGGGAGAAATGTGTTCCACTGTCGAACCGCCCTTACTGTCAGGAAGTTCCTCCTAATGTTGAGGTGGAATCTCTTTTCTTGCAGCTTGCATCCATTGTTTCTGGTCCTAGTCTCTGGAGCAGCAGAAAACAAGCTTGTTCCCTCCTCGATATGACGTCCCTTCAAATATTTAAACACGGCTATCATATCACCTCTCAGCCTTCTCTTCTCCAGGCTAAACATCCCCAGCTCCCTAAGTCGTTCCTCATAGGGCTTTGATTTAATATATTTTTAAGGGGGGCCGATATATTTGTATGGGATTGTATTTTAAATTGGATAGCCTTGGCTAAAGGCGGGATATAAATAAAATTTTATTTAGTAGATGGTGCTTAACACTGGTGTCATTCCAGCACCAATTCAAAATAGGGCTTTTTATTAAAACCTTCACGGCCTAATTGATTTTATCCCATCTGCACAACTGCTATGCTTGGTATTATTTTAAATTGTTTTAACAGGTTTTAAATTGTCTTCTTTTAAGTGATAAATGATTTTAGTCGTTTGAATGGTGATTGTTATTTATTGTCTCAATCTGATTTTCTGCATTACAGGATAGATGAATAATGGAATATAATGGAATGAGACATAAATAACGAAAAATTAATCAGGATAATATATTGTAGGGCTTTGTAATTGGAACATATAGTGGTGGCTAGAGGATTGAGCAAAGTCTCATTTTAATGGGGAGTAGAGGATAGAGTGTAGGCCATTAGGATAGAACATTTTCCCTGCTTGTTTTTTCCCCCTCCTTGTTGGTTTTTTTTGTCTTATTTAATTTGGTTGCTACTATGTTAATGCTCACGATATAGTCTGTATATGTATGTTGACTTTTTAAACTTTTGAAAATTATTAATAAATATTATAGTTGAATTGATTTTATTGTACAGCATAATACCTTAAGATCATCAAACAGGATGGGATGCAAATATTTTGATAAATACATTAACAAATGTTGCCATTTCACAACTCACCTCTAATTCTGTTCATTCATGGAAAAGGTGAAAGACAGCAAGCTGTCTCTCTCTTTGGTTAGCCAAAAACCACTGCAAAATTGCCCCCAGAAGGTGTGGAGAATATTATTAGTTAAGAGGAGGAGGAGGAAGAAGAAGATGAAAAAGAAGGGCTCAAAATGGCCTTGTGGCCACATGTAACCCATGGGTTGCAACTTAATCTAAGTGTTAACTAACCAGGCATGAAATATACAAGAAGATGCATCCACCTCCACAAATGGTTAATCAGTAGCTGGTCTGAATTCATATTTACACAGTCATCTAGGATGTCTAACAAGAGGACACTGTTCATAGCATTGGATACCTCTTCCTGCTTCCAAACCCACCCCTCCACCCCTTGAATTCTAATTATTTATTTAGTTTTCAGTAAAGTTAAGCTCTTTTGGGTGACCCCTTGCAGTTTTCCCATCAAGCCAGAAAGAAGTTTCCCATAGTCTATTTATAGAAGGCACATCTGTATGTGGATTTCTGTCTTGAAAACATCAATTTCCTCCTTGAATGTTCGTTCTATCTGCCGGAGGCTTAATCAACAAGAGATTTTTCTTTTGGCAAAGGCTGATTTAGGTGCTATACTCATGAGCTAGTAGGTGTTCAATGATGTGAGGTATCCTTTCTGCTGTTCCCCGTGTACTGAATGCTAGCGTAAGCCACTGTGAAACATTGAGCTTGCCATCAATATACTGGGGAGAATTCCCATGCATTTTTACTCCATTCTAGCTCTGATATGTCTCAAGTACAATGTCCAAAGAGAGCCAATGTGGTGTAGTGGTTTAAGCATTGGGACTATAACTCTGGAAACTTGGGTTTGAATTCCCACTTGCCCGTGGAAATCCACTGGGTAACCTTGGGCAAGTCACACACTGTCAGTCCTAAAAAAACCCATGACAGCTTGGAAAACAACTTCATGGCACACAACAACAAATGATGCTAAAAACATTATTAAGATTTGTTCCATTTATATTCCACTTTTCCTCCAATAAAGTCAAAGTGGTTTATATGGCTTTTGTCTTCCCCACTTTATTCTCTCAACAGTCCTGCAAGGCAGGTCAGGCTGATCGGCTCAAGCTCATGCACTGAGTTTTATGTCTCAGCCATGTACCTGGATCTCATAAGTACTACACTCCAACCACCACACCACAATGGTTTCTCCATCAATATCAGAAAGAATACTTTGTTGTTCTAGTTGTTGCTTCACCATGGTGGAGGATCAAATGTCTTTAAAGTTGCCTCTATTTTTCTAAGGGGAGTAAACTTTTTATCTTGAATTCCTGCCAGGGTTCTTCTCATGCAGTCCTAATTCAGATTCTGTTCTAAATAGCATGTTTTGATTCCTTGGGCATTTTTTCAGAGACAGCCTAGTGGAACACATTCTTTTTGTAGAGTGGTCAAAGAAGAGAGCATGCTTTCTGAAGTTTGGACTCTAGGGAGTCCTTAGGTTGAAAAGGTTTTTATATATAATTACTTACACTTGAGATATTGCTGTTCACTTCGCCTTCTCAGTCCCACTCAATAATTATGTTTCTTTTTTGCCAGGGTGGTGCAGTGGTTTGAACGTTGGACTAGAGCCCTGGAGATCAGGGTTCGATTCCCCACTCAACCATGGAAACCCACTGGGTGACCTTGGGCAAGTCACACACTCTCAGCCCCATGGAAATGACTTGAAGGCACACAACAACATACAGTCAATCCTCCTTACCCATGGATTTTTTATCCATGGATTCAAGCACCCACGGCTTGAAAATATTTTTTTAAAAGTATAAATTCCAAATAACAATTTTTGATTTTCCTTTTTATTTAAGGGACATCATTTTGCTATGCCATTATATTTATTTTAATGGGACTTGAGTATCCATGGATTTTGTTATCCACAGGGAATCCTGGAACCAAACCCCAGCAGATAACAAGGACCCACTGTATCTCAGTTAACAAAGTCTCTGGCAAAAAATTTTTTTTTTTATAATGTATTTTTAAGCCAGCCCACCTTGGCCTCTGTACAGCTGAAAGTTTTTAGGGGATACTGGGAGGATGATGAGGAAGAGAAGGAGAAACACAGACTTTCGGTGTTGATTTGCAGCAACCTGTCTTCAGTAAACAATGCAATAAACCTTGCGCTGGGAAAGAAAAGCATTCTTCTCTAGCCAACCCTACAACTTGCATGTGCCTGCCTACAATACAGAAGGTAAACCGCAGCTGCCTCTAATATCCCTTACTCAGCAAAATAGTAAGAACAAAAGTGCTCCACCAGCCACCACAAACATTAATACATCATACATCTGTACATTTGGTCACCAAAATAGAAAATCATAAGAAAAGTGGAGGCAGGCAAAAGAAAAAGTCATCCCTGTGCTCTTCCTTTTTTTTTTTTTTTAAAGTGTAGGAACGTTTCCCTATTCTTTCCATGTTGTTTCGGCTTCTGGTATCAAATTTTGGCTAAAGAAGTAATGCATTATTCTGTAGAGCTGATATTCTACCAGCACTCAGACTGCAGAGCTTTGGGGCAGTAATCTGTGTGTACTTACTTAGGTTTAAGCCCTGCTGGACCCTGATTTGTTAGAACACGGGTGAGAAAGGCACCTTAAAGCTATTTCAGTAGTTGTGTTATAACATGTATGTGTTGTTGTTGTTCTTGGTGTTCAAGTAGTTTCCAATTTATGGCAACCCTAAGGCAATCCTATCCTGGAATTTTCTTGGCATGTATTATTCAGAGGCTTGTCACTGCCTTCTTCTAAGGTTGATAGAAAAGCCAGCATTGAGCAGTGGTATACGTGCTGGGCTAGGAGTCCAGAAGGCCAGGGTTCAAATCCCTGCTCAGCCATGACAAGCCAATGGGTGACCTTGGTAAGTCCCAGCCTCAGAGAAAAGCAAGAGAAAATTGCCTCTGAACCAATCTTGCTGAGAACACCCTGTGATACATTCACTTTGGGCCACCTAAGTCAGAAAAAACATGAAGGCATGTGTGCACACACAAACAAAGGCTGAGAGAGTGTGACTTGCCCACAATCACCCATACCGCACTCATACACAAAGATGTTTACAGGAAGATTTGGGACAATACCATATACTCTTCTAAGTGGAATATACATATTAATCACATAATAATTTTTTGAACAAAATGTATGCTGACAACATGGGAATGAAACAGGAAGATCTCAAATGGCATAGGAGTAAATGGCACAGGAGCACACACACATATGTCTATTATAAGCCTTGTAGAACCCCTTCTAATTTCCGCTTTAAATTCCACTTTAGATTCCATGCTGAGAGAAAGGTTGGGTATAAATTAAATAAATAAGTTTTCCTATGCAATCAGTAGAACTAGAGCCTTCACGGTGACGAATATTTGCAAATTTTAGACTCTCGGAATGTCAGTTGTGTCTCACTGATCAGTCAATGCTTACACAATAAACCTTACCAATACTGCAATACTGTTTCCTAAAAAAAAGAAATGTCTTTTTTCAAAATGCAACTTTGGGCCTTTGCAGACTGCCAGAAATAGTGCACATTAAATTGAGGCACTGCCCTGGCTCAGTGCTAGGGAATCATGGGAACTGTAATTTATTGTGGCACCAGAGCTCTCTGACAAAGAAGGCTCAATGTCCCAGAAAAAAATACAATTCCCATGACTCCCTAGCACTGAGCCAGGTCAGTGCCTCAATTTAATGTGCACTATTTCTGGCAGTCTGCAAAGGCCCTTTGTAAGGGGAAATCAATTAAAAGTAATTAGTCTAACAAAAATAAGAAGTACTCACCTGATCCGTAAACTCTCCCCGTAAGGCAGGATTGAAAAAGCCACACATAACGTTCGTTTAGCACAAATTAATACTATCCTGAAAGGAGACAGAGGAAAGAGTACAGTGAGTCATCAATTGTATTTTGTACCCACATTCAGCTTCCTGCATAAAAAATTGAGCCACATGGGCTTTCTGTAATAGAAAGTAGTAGAAACCTAGCCTTCCACTTACAGAAAGAAACTATTTTGTGTTTGCTTTTTAAGAATAAGTTAGATCACACCAATCTGAGCCTGGAAGATATTAACCCACCAACCACTGGTGTTAACTTATTTTCAGTTAGGAAGGCCAATACTTCAGGAACAGAGCTTGTAGCTTCCATATAAAAAGCCTTAAAGGTCTCTTTGGAAGCAGAGCTAAACAGGATCTTTGTGTGAGGCCATAATAGATAACCATTCAAATTAGAAAAGGGACAGGCAAACTGTGTAGACCATGGACTAATTTCAAAAGTCTTTTCTAAGCAACAGAACCTGTCCTTGTTCCAGAGGTCTACTAGATGGGGACAATGAGTCAAAAGGAGTTGGTGGTAAAAGGGAAGGGGGTGATTCAGACTTGCCCATCACAGGCACAAGACCTTTGATAGATTTCTCTTAAGGAAATGGGATCATTAACACAGGAAGTCAAGAAACTGGCTTCTCAATCCTGGGGTAGAAAACACTAAGCCAGATGGACCAAGACATTGTCCTCCTTTGCAGTTATGACAGCTGATCACCCTAAGAAAGTAGTGATAATGACATTAACACTGGATATTAGCATTGCCAATAAACAGATGAAGATGGCATGATGATGGTTAGGTTATTTGTGTTCTCAGCAGCAATTTGGGAGTTTATCACAGGAGGCTAGCAAAGCACAATTACAGGAGGATAACAACATTTTTGGCAGGTCCTTATCACACCTGAGGAAAATCTGTCAATGAAAAAGTGCTCTCCATGAGCAACTGAAATGCAAAGCAGCAACAGGAGAAACATAAAATTGTGTGATAAGTACCTGCCAAAGACACTATTATCCTACTGTAATTGTGATATACTAATCTTGTGTGATAAACTCCTTGGTCAACAGCCAATATTAATAATGGAACACAGGTCATGAAAGCTCACACTACAATAAATTTCTTTCAGGTACCACAGGACTCTTGGTTTTGCTGCAGAAAGCTAACATGGCAATCCTTCTGGAAACAGGTAAAGGAAAGGTTACCTGCTGTTCCTTGTGTCATACTGCCTCATGTTCTTAATGAAGTGCATCTTCTTCAAGCCCTTGTGTCTTGGAGATCCCGATATGTGCTTGGTTCTACAGGGAGAAAGATGGAAGTAAGCATTCTGGGTGAGGGAGAAAATAAAGGAAGAATAAAAAGGATGCAGATGTTAACAGCTGGAATGAAGATGCATGCAGGGCCTTAGGTATTTGGCTTGGAAGAGGGTGCAAGGGAGAAAAAGGACTTGCCAAGCATGCAACGAGAGAAGGTTAATGCTGCTTTTGAACAAGTACCTTCGGACACTGGCACATTCCACTATGTCTTCTAAAAACTCTAGAGAGCAGCGCTGGGAGAGAATACGCCTTCTGCAAAAATGCACAACACCACGAAGAGCGAACAATATTAGTTCATGGCCTCCGAGATGAGCAAGCTGTCAATATAACAGCACCTGTATACGCTTATGTCTGTTTTCCCCACAAGCTTCCTCAAACTTTCTGCAGGAACACTGTTGATACCAATTTGCCTCTATGGAGGAACTTCCAAGTGTCACTCAGGGAAGGCCTGCTCATTGCAAAGTGCAGTATTCTGAAATATATTCAAGAGCAGGGAGGGCAACTGTGGAAGGGTAGGGGGATGCATACCCCCTCACCACCTGCTCCCACAAAATAAAATTAATTATTTTTGGTCCCCAAATGCCCTCTTTTTGGACCCTCCTGGCTATTTTAGTCCTAGGAGAGGCCTTTTCTTAACAACAGGTGATGAGCAGAAGTCAAAAAAGGCCTCTCCTGGGCATAAATTGGCCCGAGGGTCACACTTTGCTCACCCATGTTCTAATCTAGAGTATAAATTATTCACCTGAGTGTTAGCCAGACATTTTGGGCCTTACAGACAGACACCTCATGGCAACTGAGAATGCACCCTAACACAGCCTCAACACTTTCCTGCAGCTGCCCAGTTCAAGGAAGTATCACAGGTTCTTATGGAGGTGGCAACTTAAATGCACTCATAACAATGGTGAACCACAACCTGTTTGCCATCACATTTATTTTAAGGGTGCAGGAGAGTCATTTTTGTACATAAAAGCTTGCCCTGGATTTATCGCCAAAATGTTCTTGGCAAACATGAAGTCTGTGCACAAAAGAAAAGACAATGATGTATAGGAATGTTGACTTTGTGCTACACAAATAAAGTTCTGTTCCCGGGAAATCCAAGCACAGAGTTAGAAAGTTTTATTGTGGCACAAAACACTGCAAACATAAATTACGAGCAAAGAGGTTCCATACTGATTAAACGTTCTATACAACACAACAGTATGAATATTCTTTCATCAATCAAAAACTGATTCATTACATCAATTTGTGCAAATTGTAAATTGTAAATTGGTTATTTCCAATTGAACCATTCTCCTTCTATTTATCTGCTGTTTATCGTTCTACCCCCTCTCTAGTTCTTTAAGGCCTTGCTATCCTGGGGCCCATTCACACTATACAGTTATATCAATATTATTCCACTTTTATTGCCATGGCTCTGTCCTATAGAATCCTGGGATCTGTAGTTTGGAGAGGCACTAGAGCTGAGACTTCTAAATACCTCTCCCTAAACTACCAATCCCAGGATTCCATAGGATGGAACCATGGTAGTTAATGGAATAATACGGATATAATTCGGTAGTGTGACTGGGTCCCTGGCTAAGACGTCCTTTACCTCATTGGGAGAAAAAAAGGAGATGACATTCAGGGACAGATGGAGATATTCTCTGCCATTCTGTTTCCCAGACCACCAGTACTTCATCCACTGCCATTTGACAGCCTCCTGAAGCATCACAGTCTATAAATCAATGAGCGTACTTTTGAAAAAAGAATTTATTTTTTCCACATGTCCCCTCAAAACAACTATCAAACAGAATCACTCTTCTTGACATCCTAAAAGCTACATCACTCTTACACTTGCTATGTGAAAAAATAACTGATGGATAAAGAGACGCTCTGCTACCAGTTGACCAAAAATGAGTGTAAAAAGACAGTTCAACCAAGTAAAACATTTTTATTTGATCTGGACAGGACTGAGCACATGTACTATAACAAATCCATATCCCAATAGGGTTTTAAAACAAAACAAAACAAAACAACCCTTCCTCTATCTTTAAGCAGTTTCTGCTGGGAAATTTTAAAGGAATTTTTAAAAAGTGCTTGGTTTTGTTCAGCACTGGAGGGCTTACTTAAGTCAACTATTTATTTTTAAAGCGTATATTATGACACACAGTATCATCTGTCATCATTCCAGCTTCCTGGGAAGTAATCATAATCCTCACTTTATTGACTAATGGAATTATCCCAAGAATAGGCCACAGGAGGTCAGTGGCATGAGATTAGCTTTTGGTTTACAGTTCATTAGATCAGGTTGGCTTATTTCTGCCAATTTCTCAGCAACATCCAATGGATTTATAACACAAACCAAAGAGAAGACAAAACTCTGCCCTTGGATCACTAGAACTGCTGAAAGAGAAAAATCGGCCATAATGGCCATAAAAGAAGGAGAACAAGAATAGTTTAATAGGACAATCCCTGGCTTCCACTCCACCATAAGCATCTGAAGAAGTAGACTAAAGTCTACGAAAGCTAATGCTACAAACATCTTTTTTTCCAGTTAGTCTCAAAAGGTGCTACAAAATCTCTCTCTCTATTAATTCTACAGACTAACACAGCTATATCTTTAAATTTGTTCCAGTACAAACAGTTATGCACAAAGCTTAACCCAAAAGTTACTTGTTGGATTACAAGTCCCAGAAACCTTCTGAAGGCTGGGGAATTCTGAGAATTGTGATCCAACAAAGTA